CCCCTTGATGGCTCGACACGTTGATAGAAAGTAGCAAGAAAAAGAATGCCTCCCCCTCCCCTCCCGCTTACCCTTTTCCCCTCACCAGCGCCCGATGAAAATGAAATCCCTTACATGAATCAATAATTTTTGTAGAAATGATTTCAGCCTTCTCATCTGCGATTTTCTCATCGAGGGGTTTGTGGATCTGTCCCGGGACGGCCGCTGATCAACTCCAATGACGGCCCGATGAGTATGGATGTTGAGACAACTGTAGACTTTCTGAGAGAGGTTTGAGCTGTTCTCTCAATAAACTTTCTTTGTCCTCACTGCGGACATGCTAGGCTCTGGGGCATAGTGCTGCTTTCACCGAAAGATTAAATTAAATGTTGTTTCTGAAGGTATGGCGCGATGACTGGACTTCGAACCAGGATCCATATGTGCCACCAGTGTTGTGGAACGAAGAGCAGTACAAAGATGGCAGAAAATATCGTATAGGTTACTATATTGACGACGGATGGTTTACTCCCATCCCTGCTATACAGGTAAATGACCTCGTAGGTTTGAATGAAACATGCAACAACAACAACATGAGTGAAACATTTTAATAAAAACGTAATAGCTCTGCGAAGATAGTAATACTTAGCGCAGGTGTTCTCTACATGGCACATCCTCGCGTCCGGCACTTAGAGAAAACTTTGCAGATTATGAAGTTTCTCCCCCTACCCCCTCGAAGTTTCCCCCTCTTTCCCCATCTTATCTACCATCTCCCTGAATTCCCTCTATATCCTACCACTTTTTGGAATTTTTTTTTCGCAATTTGTCCAGTTTTCCCAAACAAGTATCGTCGGGTAGGGGGGGAAGGGGGTGGTGTGCAGAGAACCTCCCTCTAGCGACCAAATACGACCCCGTCGTTGAGAACCCCTACGTACATACGACGTGCCCTTGTGCTCAAAGGCGCTGAACAGGCAAACAGTATGTTTTTAGATGGGCTTTCGAGTGCGCTGGCTATTAACATATATGGTTTGCCCGTGAAGGGTGTGGGAAGTGCGCATGAAATGCGGCATGACCTAAAAGTTCCAGCACTATTCAACTATCACTACCCCAGAAGTGAAGAAATTTTTTTTGCTGAATCCACAGAGAAATTTTTTTTGCTGAATCCAGGTAATTCGGTGTCCTGATCACAAATATAGCACTCGTTTTTGACGCTGGCGCCAAATTGGCGCTAGTTGGGGCCATTTTGGCGCCGCCACTAGGCGCTCTCAGGAAATTCGATTCTGTGTAAATTTGCATAGTAGGGTTATTTGATGTCCTGATCACGAACGAATTAGTTTTCAGCCCTGACGCCATTTGGCGCCATTAGGCGCTGATTTGGCGCCACACCCTTTTTATCAAAATCGATAAAAACCTGCATAATGGGGTTGTTTGATGCCCTGATCACGAATATGACATTTATTTTTCGACGCCAGCGCCATTTAGCGCTTTTCTAAGGCTGAGCCTGGGAGAAAGAGTGATTTCCTTCAGGTCAGGCTCAGCCTTAGCAGAGCGCAGATGATCGCAGCGTCTTCCATCAGCGCCAGCGCCAAAAATGAATGTGATATTTGTAATCAAGATGTCAAATAACCTCCGTATACAAGTTTTCAGCGGATTTGGTGACCTAGGGTATTTTACCAGCGCCTGTGGCGCGGGCGCCGAAGTGGTTTCGGGCGGAGCGGATGTGATCCGTGTTCAGGAGGTCAAACTACCCCTGGGACAATTTTTCAGCGAATTAGGTGACTCAGGGTTTTTGGCGCGAGCGCCAGGCACTTTCAGGCCGAGTGGATGTGATATTCGTTTTTCGGATTTCTGAGGTCCGAAAAGATTCGGAGGTCGAATTACCCCTAGAACCCAACTTTCAGCCAAGATCTGCCCCCGTAGAAAAAAGTCGATCAAGATCCGGCCATGTTTTCGGAAAAATGTGTAGTAATAGTTGAATAGTGCCAAAGTTCCCACTCATTTTGTGGACTGTCTCTGACGCGTGCCTTCCTTCTCAGGGTCTACGTCAATCTGCAGAACCACAGTCACCTGAGAAAAGTTTCGTTTATAAGAAACTGCTCTAGCTAAGTCCATTTTATATTCAAAAGCGTACTCCGCACTCGTTGGATGGGCGGAGCCGGGCCCTACCATTGTACCATCTTCATTTGTCAACCTCTCCTGATTTATGTCTGGAGAGCATAAATCAGGCAGACGCAACTGTAGGCAACTCCGCTCATGCGACAAATATGAAATGTGCCCCTCTAGCGAAGTGATTGAAATTTTAATGCTCTACACGTGCACATTTGATTATTGTGCCTAGTTCCTGGTCCTTTGCCTTCTTCGTTGCCGCTATACTGGAAACGATTTAAGCGAGCGGTACTGGAAGCGAAAAGCCATCTCGAGGCGGCTGGACATACATTAGTACCGTTTCATCCACCATCTATCCCTCGTATTATGCGCCATTTCGTCCGAGCGGTGTGTGTCGACGGAGGGCAATACTTGACGAAAAAGCTGCTCAATGTGAGTATTTGAGAAAATTAATCAATATTTCCTCCCAGTTATTGATTTTAGGACATTCATTGATCCAACGCTGTACGGTCAAGTCGTGCTGTTTATGATTCCCCTTCGGCTACAACGTATACTCGCCTATCCTGTAAAATACATTTTCCCACGTCTGGCCAATATGATGCACTCGATGGCGCTGAATACTGGTGGTAAGTGGAGCCGCTCTCGTATCCAGGTGGATAGTTTGGCCACTTCGCACTTACACGGTCTCGAGATCGACTCCCCTCCCCTCCCCCACTTTTTCTAAAGACAGTCTTGTTCACTGCGGACACTGGGGCGCTTCGGGAGGGTGGGTACATTATGGCGTAGCCTGATCTCCACAAGTTTGCAAGCTAGCACATGAGCATATTTGGTTGAGGTGTGGCTGCGCCGCGCTAAACTTACAAGGGAAGGATGGTAGGTCGAAGTGGCCATTTGAAATGAAATGTATACCGGCTGAGAAGGTCTTTGGACGGGAATTACGAAACCGTCTTCCATATCTGCTGCGGACCTCACAGAAAAAAGTTACGGAGCTTTTTAGGGGGAGAATACTGGCATTCAGTACGAATCGGCGGCGTAAGTCGTCTTCATCGGTTGCAGCGTGGCCGATTGGATCTGTTGTAGGACTCACGTCAAGGGTTTGGATCCTTCGTTGCGCGTGCTCTTTTGCATTTTTTCGAAAGTGGTCCCTGTGCACTTCAAAGCGATTTTGCATAACTCTTGTGCCTGATAATGTCGTGACGTAATTGCGAACGATTTCATGGAGAACACTTCTGGCTGAAGAGATTGTCATACGAGCCGAAAACTTCCAGCAGGTGCGAAACCACTTTGGGATAGACATCATTCAACACTATGTGAGTGATGAATGAAGGTTTTGCCCATCGCGATCTCCAGCATGATTGCCACATCAACGCCACTTCATATGAAAGCATTTTCCCACTATACTCATCTTCGTGCACAACTTCGTGCGGATTCGTTTTCCAGTCATGTCGTTTGGAGAATAAAGTCATTTTTCAAGGCAAAATCATTCCGTTGGAATGCACTTTTGTTGTGAAAAATATGCTTTTCAAATCAATGAAAGAAGAAGTCAACAGCCAAAAAATGTTCTCCATGGAATCGTTCGCAATGGCTCCATCAGTTCAGAAACATTACGTCACGACATTATCAGGCACAAGAGTTATGCAAAATCGCTTTGAAGTGCACAGGGACCACTTTCGAAAAAATGCAAAAGAGCACACGCATCAAGGATCCAAACCCTCGACCATGCATACCGTGAGTCCACAACATATCCACTCGGCCACGCTGCAACGTCGTGGCATTACGCCGCCAATTGTACTGAATGAGAATATTCTCCCCTTGAAGAGCTCCGTAACTTCTTCCTGGGAGGTTCGCAGCAGATATGGAAGACGGTTTCGTGATCCCGTCCGAAGACCTTTCAGCTGCATATACATTTCATTTCAAATGGCCACTTCGACCTACCATCCTTCCCTTGTTAGCCCTCCCCCC